GGGTCGCGGGGGAGCGCTGGAGCCTATCCCAGCTGTCATAGGGAGACATTTTAATGCATTAATGCAAAACATAAGGAATCCCCCACAATCTGTCCATCTAGCTCTGTCATTGAATAAAAAATTGATTATTGGGATTATTGGATTTCCTGATAATTACCCCATCAACAACATGATAAACAATTTATCTATGTAATCAAAAAATAAAAACTTAATGGGACTTATGTCAACATATAATCTTCATAATAACTTGTTTGCTGACTGGATGAAATGTGCACAAAGCAGCTGTCACTGACGTAAATAAATAACGTAATGCTTATGTGACTCAGATTATCATCCTAACACCCAGTATGATTTATTGGACTAGTTAACGAAATAGAAGTTTTACTCTGCTGCAGTCCAGGGAACCACATGTACACTTAATATACAGAGCCATCATCAGTTTGTTTTGTTTACAGAAAGCTCAAATAAATGTAGTTTTTATGAAAATTTGTTGCTATGATTAAACTATAAGAGTTTGAGTTGGTGGATGAATGGATGGGCTGGAGCCAATCCCAGCTGCCATAGGACACGAGCTATTTGTACCTGGCATGAAGGTCCTGGGTCATGGCAAGAATTTTTTAAACAGGTATTAACAGGATGAATTGAATTTTTTCTGGCAGCAGGCACTCATGTGTGCACTTGATATATAAATAATTAGGCACTGTCCATGTTTCACAAACTTCACAAACTACTTCAAATGTGCATGTGGGTCACAAGTACTCTCACACATGCATCAAGGCCAGTGTCAGGCTGGTATTAATAGAGCTCCTAGGGGCTTCATGTTTAGTAGGACATGGAATAGCTCTTCAGAAAATCTGACAGTTTAGCTGTCTTTTTGACCATCTTTGCCAGAAAACTTCATGTGTTCAAAGTTTTTAAGGCACTAGTACAGTAGAGGCAGTAGGTGACATATATTAACCCAAGCCTCCCCTTCTTTGACAAGAAAGCATTTACATCAGTTGGGGGGGGCAATAAGAGCCCTTGTGGTTGTGCTGCCTCTGGTTAGTGAGGTTTTAGTAGCACTTCTGTAAGTACTGTACTTCTGTATTAGCAAAGTTGGTGGGAAGGGCACAGCTGACGTAGGGCGCGTCCACTTTTCAAGAAGACTTTTCAATGACTTTGATTCATTTCATGGTGTTTGGACTTCTTTTACCTGGAGTTCTTGAACTCTTTCTTTTAATTTTCTTCATATTTTCTGCCTGTATGTATTTCAGAAAATGCTTTTGAAACATCAGCAGCACCTGCAGTGGCAAAGAGAGGCATAGCGGCCAGTAACTGGCAGCCATACAGGTGGAAATAACAGTATGTCTATTGTTCTCTTTAACTTTTAAGTGTTTGGGTCTCAGTAAAAAGAATACAATACAAATACTGATTGACATCTGGGATTAGTTTATAATTTTGTTTGCATTTGTTGCTATTTATCTGCACTAGTGGACTGCTTTCATATGCTGAACCCACCTGAACTTGGTCAGTAGTGTAGTTTAAAAAAATTAAAATAGGAAGAATTTGATTTTGTATATATAATCGGAAAAACAGCAATTTTCATCCAAACCATTTGTATCATCATGCTAAATACCAAACAACAACCTAACAACTTCTGAACAGAAGTCTTGACAAAGGACAACTCTGGAGGAGATTAACAGCCACCATGGATCATTTCATGCTTTCACAAAGGCTGTACAGTGATCACCTCTAATACTCATAACCCACATACAGACTGGCCGGGCAAACTTCCAAGTTCCCTCCCAGAGACCTTTCCACAGAGGCTCGGAAAGTTCATCTACTCGAAGTTGGAAAGCATTATCAAATCTCCCTTCTTTAGGAAAAATAAACAAAGAATACATACGCAACAGTCAGACCCCCAACCACCCCTCTCAGCCAAAACAGGAAACTGATCCAAGAAGCTGCGCTGTAAAGTTTGATGGACCAATCTATATTAATTTCTCAAACTATACACAATATCCTTAAAGCTAATTTTAATAGTTAGGAATCAGCCTACCAAGGCCTCTGACTTTGAGTGTCATCTCATCTAAAAGCACTCAACGACTCAGCAGCTCCCTCTGCAAGTAATGGGCTTACAAGAGAGTCAGCCCAGGCAGGCACCAGAGACTCACCAAAGGCCACTTCTTCCAGGTATTGTTCCAGGGCAGGGACCTGGTGTCCCTATTAATGGCAAGGTTTCTGGGTTGTTTATAGAGCTGTTATGAATCATTCTTGCTTTTGGCTCCTCACACAGGACAAGATTGCCTTGGGAGACCCTTCCCGAGGCGAGGTGCCCCTGCTAGCTAACCTCCTGCTGTCAACTGGGGAAGCAAATGGTGCAATTCATGGAGAGGTGCACTTAGATTAGAAATTTAGAATTAAAAATCATTTTAAAAATATTAGATTAGGTATTTGATTAATACATTGACAGTTTAGTTTTCAGCACAAAGATATTTGCAAGTGAAACATTTTAACAATGTTTTGTTTAATAATGTTTTTCTTCTTCACACCAAAAATAAATAAACAACTAAATAAATCCTCATTCTAGTGTCTTTTCTTTGCTGTTACACTATGTTATGAACTTTTGAACTGGCCTCCTTTTCTTGCACAAACATTTATCACTGTGACCGATTTGGTGCCTGGCATGCCTGAAAACAAAGCTCTGCCTACAGTTTGATTTCTATCCAAGACATTTCACTACACTTGTTCTTGAAATTGTAATCTGCTCAGGTGTTAAATCCTTGGCCACTTTAACTTCAGATAAAGACTAGAACAGGAAAGGATCAAATAAACAAGAGACAGGATGATGCAAAGTGAATTGTAGATGGCCCGAGGCCACAGAGGAGCTAGAAACTGGTCAACATCACTGCTGAGGAAAGTAATATTCAAGTAGACATAAAGTAATGAGCCCAGCTTGTGCCATTGAATTTCAAAGCATAGCTCTCTCACTGGCATTAAATAGCATTATCATATGTTCTTTGATATATCTTTAACAGGATCTAGAAACAGTCACGTTTTCTGAGGTAACAGCTTGCTTCAAAACCTCTTTGTGTGAGGTATATATTACTCACATGTGACACAATAGGTACCTACAGTACAATATTTTAACAGAGCAGAGTGCCCAGACATACCAAACATAATTTGGGGGAAATGCCGAAAGGGGAGAATACCCTGAAAATCAAGTTGTGGCGTTTACCTTGAGCCACTTTATTTACTGCACAGCCTGTTTTTCCTTACTGAAAACAAAGGGAGCATTTCCTGGTGCAGTGGAATGACAAATCGATTCTTAGTTGACTAACAAGATCCAGTGTTTAGATTAAACCTCAAAGCAGAAACCTCTGGTTAGAACTTTGATTGACAGATATTAAAAACACCTCTTTAGCTTTTCATTACTTCTTTAATCTCTTTCTTTTGTGTGAAATTGGAATTTCTAAGACACTGAAACTGGCTGATCCAGACCTGACTGAAATGGATGACTTCAAGATTAAACTGCTTCTAAGTCTTACATCAGTCTATTGTTGTTCATCAGATCTTACGATCCTGTCACTGAAAAGATGTTGCAAGCTATGAGTTTACCCAGAAATAAGAAAAGATAAGATAAACCTTTATTAGTCCCACACGTGGGAAATTTTTGGTCACGGCAGAAAGTACACGAACAGTGAAAAATTAAGAGAAAGAAGAGAAAAACAATAGAATAGAATGAGATAAACATGTGCCATTGCACATCAAGGAGAAAGGGAGGCAGTTACAAATGTGTATGGGATGTGTGTGTGTGTGTGTCTGTCTGCACATCTGTGGGCCTCTGCAGAGACCATGTTGTAGAGTCTGACAGCAGTGGGGAGGAAAGGCCTGCGAAATCTCTCCGTCCCACATCGTGGGTGCTGCAGCCTGCCACTGAAAGAGCTGCTCAGTGCTGTCACAGTCTCCTGGACGGGGTGGGAGATGTTCTCCAGCAGGGATGACAGCTTAGTCACCATTCTCCTGTCACTCCCCACCTCCACTGGGTCCAGAGGGCATCCTAGAACAGAGCTGGCCCATCAGATCAGCCTGTTCAATCTCTTTCTGTCCCCTGCAGAGATGCTGCCACCCCAGCAGACCACACTGTAAAAAATGTCAGAGGCCACCACAGAGTCATAGAAGGTCTTTAGGAGTGGGCCGTTCACTCCAAACGACCTGAGCCTCCGCAGCAGGTATAGCCTGCTCTGTCCTTTCCTGTCCCCAACCCCCGGGCTATGGACTAGTACCGGACCGTGAGTCGTTTGCTTTGTTTACTTTGTTGACACAGCACCGCAGCCCTGATTACAAGCAAGTCTATGTTAGTATGAAGTAATTTTTAAAGCATTTCTGTTTTAGATTTACTGCACATGTTGTTTACCATCATTCACGTGTATGCATACCAGAGCTTACATATCTTTAGAGTTAAATAAGCTTTGGTATGTATATCCAGTATGTGATGTAATAGGATTATTGAAACAACAATTAAACAATTAGTGCAACAATTTATCGAAACATGCAAACATACATGGTAAAATTAAGTAGGCAAAAGAAAAGTGGAAGTTTGTTCAACTCTAATAAGCTTGAAAGTCAATATTTGAAACACCTTGATTTTTCAATAAAGCCTCAACTTTCTTAAGCAAGCTTTCTTATGCTCTCATTATTTCTTCTGCTGCTCTTAAGGAATCATTATCCAGGTTTCCTGAAGGACGTTCAGAGGTCTTCTTAGGGTCTTAGCTGTCTTTTTCCCCGTTCTCTATCAAGATGATCCCACATTGGTTCAATAACTTTCACATCCAGGCTCTGGGGAGGCCAATCCATGACTGATAGTGTTCCATTGTGTGTTTTTCTATCCAGGTATGGTTTTACTGCATTTAAAGTTTAAATGATTTTTATTTTATTTTTAGGTTTGAATGATTAATACATCAGTGTTAAGAGTTTATTTTCATTTTTATTGCAGATTTTAGTTCATGGACTAAACACACACATGCAAACCTGAAAATAGTAGAAAAAAAATCACCCGAGTTGTCTTACAGAAAATATGATATTAGTAGTTCATCCGCTTTTTAACCAACTGTTTTCATAATTCAAAGAGATGTGCCAGCATAGATTGACTTACGGTAAAAATCTCATTATAGGATGCCACAGGCATGATGCTATCAGTAAGGTGATTCAGATCTTTGGCTTGGTTGAAATGAGCAAAGTGAACAACTATTATCACAACATAAGTCATGCTTCCTAGCGGGAAATACAAAAGCTCCAAAAATGAGCCCCTCCTTCTCTGTGCTTTTCACAGCTTATAAACCCATTCAGTGAGCCAGATTAGACTTTGCTAGGGCACTGCTGGTCTGCAGGTCTTATGGTTTGACATTCACGATCTAAAAAAATAAATTAATGTTTTTAAGATGACAATGAGAGAAATGTTTTTAAAAGCTTTAATATCCATTCTGATCCTGGAATGTTTTTACCAATACAAGTACAAATTTTAAGTGAGCACTGAGTGAAACACATGGAAACATTTAAAAATACCCAGTGACTTCATGATGTGTTTGTATGTATGTAAGCACCATCCTACCAAAAAACAATGTTTTCAATGGGGTCTGTTTACAAATGTGCAAGACAAATGATACAGACTTCACTACATTATAAAGTGTGTAAGTTTAATACAATGAACTGTTTACATGAGCATTTCTTTATTTTGAAGTTGTTTAAATAATGTATTGCCCCAAATAAAAAAGAAATAAATCACGAATTCAGTCATTCATTTTCCCAAATCTTTTCAAATATATTCCTGAGGACAACAGCATTTAAAACCTGAAAGCATTTAAAATTTTACCCCTAAACACATTTTCCCCCTTTTTCAACTCCATTCCACAATAAGTGGAGCAAAAACTCCTTTTGGCACAGGTTAGGCACTACATCGCTCATCACAGATCCATGTGTTGAGAAGATTTAACACTTGTGGGTACAATGGACACGGATGGGGAATACCATCCTGATTAAAAAAATAATAATAATAAAATATATTTATTTAATTAAAAAAGCTAAAAAAAAAAAAAAAAAAGAAACCAACTGCTGAACTTCCCCCTCTAAGGTACTGAGACATGCAGTTATATGAATTATGGTAAAAACCTTTTAGAAAAAGCGAGATTGTGGACATGTGGAGTGTGTATGTTCAGAATGTCAGTAATAGCTGCCTTTGTAATTAAAAACACTCAATAACACATTATCTGCAGAAACAAACTTTGTTTAAGTTGAAACAAATTAATTAATTCATTAAATTGTTTAGAAATTTGTCTGTACCATCCATCCATTCTCTGCCGCCTATCAGAGTTCAGATTGCAGGGGTAGCATTCTAAGCAGAAAACCCAGGCTTCCCTCATCCCACCACCTCTTCCAGCTCATCTGGGAGACACGAAGTTGTTCCCAAACCAGCCAAGAGATGTAATCTCCCCAGAGATTTGCCCCGGGCAACTGGTTCCTTGCTATATGAAGAGGTGGTGGCTCTACTCCACCTATCTTTAAGGGCAGGAATGCAGAGCGACCTGTAGAGCGACCTATCACTTCACACTCGACCCCTCAAGTGTGAAGTGATGGGAATGAGAATCAGCCCCTCTAAGTCAGAGGCCATGCTTTTAAATGGTACAGAGCCCACTTCAGGTCTGGGACAAGTTAATACCCTAACTGGGGGAGTTTAGGGTCTTTGGTGTCTTGGTCATGAGCTCTTGTGGTGGTTATATGTCCTAATTGCATAAGGAAAGCATAGCAACAGTTTAAAAAAATGAATAAAAGAGATTTGGTATGAGACTGATAGTTTACTACTGTGTAGTGTATAAGCAGAGAACATAAATGTATTCAGTAAAATGATTTGGCATTTGTGCTTAAGGCACATAGTCTTAACCTGAGTTCAAGTTAAGACTATGATATTTACAAATTTACAACACAGCTTTGGACATTCTTTTGTCTATCTAGTGTTATAATCATACAGCATTTATTTCATTCTTTAGTAAAAATATTGAAGAAGAACTCTAAAGATAACAAGCAGAATCCATTACAGTTTTTTGACTGCATAATGGTGCATAGATTAACTTATTTGAGTTTAAAGAAGTGAAGCCTTCAACATTACATTGAGAACAGTGGTAAAATGGTCCTTGTTTTTAATAGGGCGGACTCTATGCTATGCACTTGACCCAAAACCTCACTGAACTAATCATTACACAGCAAACAATCACATCTTCCTAACCACTATGGATATGAAATTAACATGACATTTACCCACTTCGTGGACATTAAAGAACCTGAGGATACCAGCTTTCTGCTACAAACTAAAACTTGCTAGGAAGGCTGAGACAAGAAGCCTTTGGCAAGAGGGTTGACATGTTTCTGATCTGTTTGTCTTTTCTTTTGTCTCTTTTTCTGACAATTGACAGTAGAAACTTTAAAATACAGGTAGCTGAAAATGATCTAAGTCATTTTAAAAGGCATTTTTCTCTTTAACAATTCATTGCACAGGGTCTGTAATGAAGGCAGGTCCCTCAACACTCCTACAGCAATCAAAGTTCTAGTAATCACTCATTTCAGTTTCCTACTGAAGATTTCTATAAACTGCCTAATGAATCTTAAAAGGGGCTTAATTTAGTTTTTCAAATCATATTAGATCAGTCAAAATGACAAGATGTCTTTCCACTGGGAGTCGTATAATACCAAAAGCCAACTTTTGCCCATCCTTGCTTGCCCATGTTCATAGGGTTCAGTCCCTTCAAACATCTACTGCAAATGCTGGAAATGGTGTGACGTATAGACGATTCTATAAACCCACAAAACCTGGCAGCAAATTTTCTGGGCTGGTAGAATAACATGGATATTTCACAACGCCTGTCAACGAAGATCAGATCAAATGTGACACCATTATTCTGAAGAAGTGGAAGAATGTGAAGAAGAGGAAGAAGTTTCACTATCAACACATGAACGCCGTGTGCCACTGTAATGTTTTTGTTTCTCATGTAGTGCTTTTCGGCCCCAAGTCCACATGCAAAATGTCATATGTGCATGAAATATGAAGCGTCCTGCCAGGCCTGAATCATCCCTGAATGCTTTGACTGCTTAATCAGTACCTGAAACAGTCTAGTCTAGTCAGTCTAGTTAGTCAGCCGGTCAGTCTGTGGCACCATTACAGTACAGTCAGGTGGATCGGCAGTCAGTTGAAATACAGTTCTTTTGTCAGCATAGAGACCACACAGGGAATCTGCTTCTTCTCACTGAAGCGGGGGTCTTCAGACCAGGACTCAAAGCTGGTGGCCACCATGTAATTGACCCGTGTCAGGATCTGCATTATCTCCAGCTGTTTTCCAAACTCGTTCAGGACGTTGCAGAGCGCCTGTACAAACCAGGAGCCACGCCCAGGATTCCTCCATGAGTAATATCCTGGAAAATAAGCATCATTAGTGAGCAATGAAACTAGAAATCAGTCAAACTAAACTCTTCAGGAAATGCTTCTCCACTTATATATATACCAATGGTATTTTACTGTAAGGAAAAATATGTTGTTTAAACTGGGATTTCAGGTTTACCTGGTACAGTGGAGTAGGCAAAGAGGAAATCAGCCTCTACGGGGATCTTATGTCTTGGATTTGCATCTGTCTCCAGGGCATCATTTGGTGGACCTGAATCTGTCTGTATACCATCATCAAATTCTGAACCCCTACAAGCCTGGTGAAGTAAATGAAATGACATTTCATTGTGATCCTGAGTAGCTTTCTCATCGATGACCTGGTGAAGCAATTCAAAATTAACTGTTTTTAAAAGCTGAGATAAGCCAAATTCACCTATTTCCACAGCAAAGAACTGTTCAAACTGCCCATTTGGGTGAAAAGTAGCAAATAGAAGTTCACACAAATCTGTAACTTAACACTGCTAATGTTACAATAAAAGACTTTAGTCACACAATCAAGTATGAACCATGCACACCTGGATGAAGAAGAGTTTTGGCTTTCCCACTAAGCTTTTGCACTTGTCCCCCCTGAACAGCGAGGTCATCGTTTTGATGGGCATGGCTCCGTCTGTGCCGTAGATCATGCCTTCCTCGCCGTGGCTCAGCAGGATGCAGGCGAAACACGAGCTGTCACTGTGGTCTTCTTCCGAGGCTGAACCACACACACAAACAAACAAACACTGAACTCCTAGCTCGACTCAGGCCTTGTTAAACCTGTCTAGATCAATGAATAAAGTCAGTCCCTAATAGTTACGTCTGAAGTTTATTTAGCGTGAATTTGAGATTTCAGCTAAGTTATATATTTAACTGATAAAGAATGATTTATAATGCAGCCCATCAAAATATTTAATATGCCAGTGAGCCCTTTGTTATAAGAAGAAATTTATCAGCATCACTGACATGACAGGTTCATATAGTCTTATGATCATAAAACCTGGTTATTGGACTTCCAGTTACTTTGATTAGAGACACATCTGGCTAAATTTAGTAGTAGGATGTGTTACTTTTATACCAGTGGTGGTTGTTAAGAAACAAGAATTATTAATTTAAACTTGCACATCTTGGTCATTTTACAAAAGGGATGTCTAACATAAGGCAGAATCAGGCCAAGGAAGACTTTAATCCAGGCCACTGGGTGGTAGGACTGTGCGATATGACCAAAAATCTCATTTCCCAATATAAGACATTTATCGTCCTGACAACGATATATATCAGAAAAATGTTACATTTTCTGTAAATTATGTGAATCTCAGGCAACTCAGCTTACGTGAAGTGTTTTCAGCTGGGTGTCGTGTAACTGGAGTCGAGTGTTTTGACCAATGCATGAAACTATACATTTTTAGGCATTTTCTTTATGAGTATTTATTACACGGCGTGCTGCTGAGAAAAGCCTGTTTTAACGTTTAAGTCCAAGGTTTATTTTGAGCACCTGACATAAACGTTCTCCGTACTCTTTCACATGATTCTAGCATAGGAGGTAGAAGAGCCTTGTTTGAGTGTGAGGTGGGGACTGGTTTCCTGTATAATTTTCATAGTACAGTTTTCTGGTCCGTGTCAGACTTTTCATAACCAAACCATGTCCATGCAACAGAGGTGGCCCCTCGTTTAAAAATAAGTTCCTCACTTTGTTTTGACAGGTCCTTTAGTTTGTCATCATTTCAGTTTATTTTAAAAAATCTCAACAGGATCTTCAGCTTTATTGCGAAAGGTTTATGTGGAAAATAAACAAAGGATGGTGGCGCCACACGTTGCTAATGACAACGCGTAAAAATAGTGGCTTGTCTGTCCGTAGTGTGGTTATTTTAAATATAAGAGAAAGTGAGAACTTTAAGAAATTAATAAAACCACTACAGTGACCATCAAAACGATGAAAAAATATTGCCGTAAACGGTTTATTTTGCGACACCACAAAACAAACGATAGCGTAAAATGAAACGATAGACGTTTTCATATCATCATCCGATATCATTATATTGAACAGCTCTACTGGATGGCTTTGAAAAATGTGAAGGAGAGCACAAGTTTTGTACTTTTTACAGGTTTTCCTACTGATAGAGATCTCCCTATCACCATTCATATTTCACTTAAGTAAGTAAATAATAGATTTCTGTAATTTTACACATTTGCTTCTTACAATTTAAGACTCATACTGACACATTTCTTTCATCTACTAAAGCAGCATTTCTTTGTCATGTTGAAAAACATACACGCAATGTTGAACTTGTGCTCATTTTTCTAATATAAAAATATCTAAGCGACTAAATGTGTAGTTAAATATCTGTACAATGACAGAGAAGGAAGTTTCATTTCGCGGGCCCACAAAAGATCAAAGAGGGTGTATATGACCAAAGGCCTCCCTGTTTTACACATTAGAAGGCACCAGATTACTAGTATGTAACTATATGCATATCAGAAATAATACCCTTTGTGCTGCTAACCCTTCCGTCAACTACAGTGGCTTACAAAAGAAAATATGTGCCTACATTTGGATCTAAATATTAAATATGAAACACCATCACAACAAAAAGAAAAATGTAAAAAAAAAAAAAGTCTCGTTATCTATATGACATGACTTACCCTCTCGGAGAAGACGCTCCATCTTCTCACATGTCTGATCGTTGTAAAGAATGACATCAAAGCCCAGGTTCTTGAAGCACTTGTAAAGCTCGCCTGCGTCTCGATCTGTGCCGTTGCGTACATTCATCCCTGTCAAAAAAAGAACGCTTACATTACAAACTCAATATGCAATAACACTGAGCCAAACTGAATTTATATGTTTGAGTAAGGTTTGCTATACCCGTCTTTTCATCAAAGTTTTTGTTATTGATGATGATGCACTTTCCCACTCGCCGGTGGCTCATCTTATACTGGAATGTTGGTGAAACAATTCTGTAATGGCTTTCAGAAGAGTAGTCCTGCTCCCGCGTCTGGCCATCCTTATTCTTCCTGCTTTTATACAATGACAATAAAAAAACAGTTATATTATATTGCACGGCTAAAACAGTTTGTCAAATTTCTCTCAGTTAAAATTTCCTGCAGCTGAGATGTCTATTTAAATACAAAAAAATACTACAACTGAATGATCCTTAAGTAAAATTTTCAAAACAAGTAACACACATTAAACTGAAAACAACACGAACCACTTACAAAGGGTACATACATTTCCAAATAAGGCATTAAAGTCACGGCCAAAGTTGGTTGCAGAAATCCAAAGGAAGATTTAAGGAGAAACTAGAACATTTTTGCTTAGCGCGGATAATTGGAAAAAAAAATCATAAAAACAGCAATCTATACTGAGCAAGAAGAAATCCTCCACGAGTGGTAATTCTCACACACCTGTCATATTTCCATTCTTTACAATATCCATCCAGATAGCTTAGCCAACAGTGACCCATTAGGGACTCACAAAATCAAGGCTTTTTCCAGAAGAGCCTAGTCAACAGCTTACTCAAGCATGGGAACAATGCACAGCAATGTGTACCAACAGTCTTGCATGCTCACTCACAGGCTGCCCAGCCATATTAGAAAAAAAACAAACAAAAAAAACATGTGATCCAGAACTTTTTCTAGCCCCCTCCCACTTCCAAATTGTGCCAACTGTACCAAACAACTGCACGAGGCTGTGCAAAGAGCTGAGACCCTGGGCACTGCAGGTACAGCAGGAAGACAGTCGAGCGGAATAGGAGGCCGTCTTACCTGGGTTCGTCATTAAGCGCTACGCCACTCTGCATCTGAAATGCGTTGCTTTCGTCTTGTGTCTTTTGTTCCCTCACAAAAAAACAAGTTTCTCCAAACCTGGAAGCGTAATTTTTGGTTGTGTGCTAGGATACTGACATGCTCTCTGTTCTGGATGGAGACCTGACTGGGGCGGCGCACTGTGAGGCCCCTGAGTCAGCAACCTCACCATCACACCAGTGCTTTCTAAAGGCCTATTTACACATGGCCCCTGTGCCTCGCTCTCCCTGCTGAGGTCAGACAGGGCAACAAGTAGCTCCTCTGCTGACAGGTACAGAATCCACCTGTGTGGATTTTCATACTTGTTATCTCCACTTGTGACAAAAAGGCAACTAAATAAATAAGTAAATAAAGAAAATATTCCTTTCCAAGAAGATATTCCTTTGATGAACACCAAAGCACACCACAAATGATTAATAAATGAATGTGAATTTCATTAATAATTCCTTAATATAGTATTTTTTACATCTTCTATTGCTTGCTATCTTGATATTTTTGGGTAAGAATCTAAATTCCAGACGGAGCGCAGAGCCTTTTTGCTTGATTACCAGTGTCTGAGGGAAAACACAGCTGCCGTACTTTATACTTCTCCATTAAAAAGGTCCAGAGTGCCACCTTGTGAGTAAGACTGGAATAAACAGCTCTTTGTGTCAGGGATCAGTTTACAAAACTAATTTGCATACTGTTAAAAGGCCCACGCTCCATAATATAATGAATGCACATTTTGAATGATTTTGGCCTCAGCTATGGTCTAATTTTGAGAAGCCACTTGAGGACTGACCCCTGTCCCTGAATTAGACTTAAGATTGATTTCATGTTCTGTGACCCATTGCCTTAATTGGGCTATTCAAAACCAGGTCGCTGTGTAAAATCAAGGGTATTTTTACAGTCTACTTTTTTAGGTTTTGATTAGCTGTGAAACCACAGTCACCTTCAGATACTGAATCCAGGATCTTACTGAGAGTGCTGTGGTCCAAAAATAACTGTGTGGTTGTGGACACAAATCCTATGTGGAAGTGGTTTATCACCACAATAGTTTTACTTGAGAAAATGAGCAAATACATGTCTGAGTAATTTAAATCAATACACTTTGGGTTTTATTTCTTTTCTAAATTAGAGAATAATAAAGCAAATTTCAACAGAAGACTACCATTGAAATAAAAAGACGAGCCACAACTTACTTGCAAACCAATTCTAATAGTATCTACAGGAATACTGAAGCAGTCAGAAACAGAGTTTTGTTATAACTTTTGTTATTCTATTCTGTAAAAACCTTCTTTTTAATTTTATGCAAAGTGCGAGCTTGCTTGCTATGTTTATGTGTTATGACATGTGTACTGTAAGATCTGTGGGGCATATACAGATGTGGAAGAACCATGAAAAAAAAAGAAAAGAAAGTTTGCACATCCAACACAAATTAATCATAACAGGTGACAATATCACCAGAAAAATATAAGCAAATTAAAACAGACATAGATTATGCTACAGATGATAGGATGGTTTAAAAACTACACACTCACCAGCCACCTCATTAGGTACATCTGCTCAATTGCTTGTTATTGCAAACATCTAATAAACCGATCACATGGCAGGAACTCAGTGCATTTATGAATGTAGACATGGTCAAGATGATCTGCTAAAGTTCAAAACTGAGCATCAGAACGGGGAAGAAAGGTGACTTAAGTGACTAAATGTGGCATGGTTACTGGTAGCAGATGGGACGGTCCGAGTATTTCAACTACTGATCTACTGAGATCTTGTCACACGACAGTCTCTGGGGTTTAGAGAGGAAGGTCCAAAAAAGAGAAACTATCCAGCGAGGTTAGATGAGGTCAGCCAGACTCCGTCAAGCTGATAACATTCGTAACAATCAATTTAGGTAGAAGAGCATCTCTCACCTTCACACTGGCTCACCAGCTTAACATTTCTTCAACACTACAGCCTATCTGAGGGATGTTAACCATCCCTTTATGCTTGCAGTATAATAACCTCCTGACGGCTTCTTGCAGCACAATTACGTGCTGTGTCACAAATCCAGATAATTTCAAACTGGTTTCTTGAACTTGAGATGATCCCCAAGATCTCAGTCCACCTTTGGGATGCGGCAGAGAGTGAGAGTCCCACTATGGATGTGCAGCCAACAAATCTCCTACACAGCTGTGTGATGCTGTCATGTCAATATGGACCAAAATCTCTGAGGGACGTTTCAAGCACCTTTCCATAATTAAAGCACTTCTGAAGGGAAAAAAAGGTCCAATCCAGTACTAGTATGGTGTACCTAACAAAGTGTCCAGTACATGTACCTTATCTTGATACAACCACAGTAAATGAACACACACCTTGTAAATGAGTGAGGGAATAATAATGAAAGCAAAACCCACAGCTTAATACCTATATTATTACAGTACGTAGATTATTTGAGTTATACTGAGTTTATTTTTAGGGCCCAAACTTATGACTTTTTTTTGGTTAACTGGTTTTCATGTTTAGAAACAATAAAAAGGAAGTCACCTCCCAAATAGCAGAAATCTCCCTTTGCGGTCAGGCTTGGCGTCTGTTTCGTCTGTCACCGGCCCATCTCCCCCACCCTCTCCAAGTTCAGAGGGTTCACCGGCGTATCCAGCCATCTTCTCCTAGCACACAAATCGAACATAACGTTATGGTTTACTTAACCTACTGCTTTCCTTACATTAGGTGTAAACTAACCACACGTTGGCGTTATTTTGAGACAAGTTTGCCTCACTTCCTTAATCTTCTTCAGTCCCACCTCAACGGTTTGAAAACGGACAGCTGGCAAAATTTAGACTGCTTTTATTAACACTTTGTCACATTGAGGCATTCAACTTGACTTGTTAGCTTCATGTCTGGTTAGCATGTAGCAGAAAAGCGACTTAGCTAAAAATACATAAATAAACTTTTCATTTTCTTTAAGTATACCTAAAGAGATTAATACACAGGAGTGAAGTTAAGCTGAATCGTACTGTGTTACGCGAACTTCGCTGTAGCACTAAAGTTACCCGACTTATGTTCGTTCTCCAAAGTGTCTCCTTCTGAGTTTCTGTCCCGTCTTCCTTGTGAAAGAAAAAGAAAGTACGGTTTGACTTCTCGCGACTGCGTAACTGCGTCACAGCACTGCGTCCCTCCTACCTGCACACTTGGCACACTTGTTTTCTGAAAGGAGAAAAACGACTAGTTGTTTGCAAATAATAATAATAACAACAACAACAATAAAGGATGCAGTAAAAGCAAGATTGATTTATGAAGGTTTATCTTTTTTCTCTTCCAAATGGGAAAGGTTTTAGTTGCTCTGGAGCAGAAATATTCGTGACAGCATTTACCTGTAGCATATTGATCAAATTTATATCCACAAACGTAAATTAAGACTTTTTTCTGTGCTGGCCGGTGAAGACATAATAATACAGCATAAAGCGAATAATCTATGCCAGGTATGTATATTAATTTGTTTAATGTTGCCCTAAATTACAAATGCAGTTTGTTTCTTATATATTTTTTCTGTCTCTTAATCACTGCTTAAAGTTTAAAGAAAATCTTATTCAGTGCCTCGCAGGGTATTGAAAAGCACCTATCAAATATACCAAATTAAAACTGTATGCTAATCCTCTGTTATCTGGATCTGGTAGAGCCTTAGACTACCAGGCAGTTCCGGCTGGGGAGCTGCTGCTTTGACAGTACACTGAACAGCACAGGGAACTGTTTTACGATCCTTCTTCTTCACCCTCTTCTTCACCCAGAGTCTCCTGCATCTATTAAGGAAGCTCAGAGCCTTCAATATCAGTCTATGTTTATCACTCTGGTGGCAAGTGTGGTTTTCTATGTGAGCTGGGGCAGCAGAGTGCAAGCAGCTGATGCCAGCATGAATGAAAAAACTAAAAGGCTGGTTCAGTTCTGGGAGTGGAGAGGTGTGAGAGCAGGATGCTGAAGAAACTCCTCAGCATCATGGGCAATCTATCCCACCCGACACATGCCTCTCTGATTGGTCACTGCAGCACACACAGCAACAGCCTCATTGGCCCAAAGGATCTCTGAGCACTCGAAGAGATCCATTCTATCTGTGGCTATTACACTAAGACATTTAATTGTTATTTTCTGTATCTTGGTTGCTACTAATTCAAGCTTATTTAGTTATTTTTAAAATTATTTTATCTAACAGAGTATTTCTGTTTCTGCTCCTGTTTCTATTCTTATTGTAATGAAATTGTAAAAGGCACAAGAAGTCCTACTGTATCTTAGACTAAAACAGTTGATCCATTAGAAAATCAAAGAAGCATTTTAAGACATCACAGATAAAATGTCACATTATAGACTGAAGTTAATAACCTCAAACATCGAACGTCTCTGATCACGCAAAGAAAAGTAATATGTTATAACTGACTAATTCCCTAATATAAAACTATTTGCTTCAAGTATAAGAATACTCTATAAACAATTAATTAAATATTTACTCCTATTGCATATTTAATCTATCAAAAATCACAAAAAAAATCCTATGAGGTCAAGGTATGTGACCTATTATCACAGTTAGATTAAAAACCTCAACCTCATGACAGTCTTCCTACAGTGAATACAGCCCTGACCCTTTTGAGCTTCAGAGGGTCTTGATTGCCTCATTTTATGTCAAAAAAGCTGTTTGCTAATGTTGCGTTAACCTTTTTCTTTAGTATTCACTTTATGTGTATTTTTTCTCGTATGTCTGTATTAATCCTGTGTCATTATTCTTTACATCTTTTGTAAGTCTACAGAAACCTTCCTTAAACAAGCAGCCTACACTTTGTGTTTACATGCATGGCTGGTGACTTGACTAAGTAAAAGTATTACACAGGGAATCACAGTTTTATGTTGTTAGTCATGTGGAGATACTCAAAGCTGAGGTAGCTGTCCAACTGAGGATCATTACACATATAGATTGACACGTGAACTCTCTGTCACTCTGTTTCCCCCTCACTGCAGACAGACAGCTGGACTCGGCCAGTCTTTGAGCACGGGGCACAGAAGGGGGGTGGTCCATCATGGGACATGGTGTGAAGTAAGAGCCAGTTTCACAGTCCCACAGTCACAGAGCTAAGTTTTCAGCCACCAGAGACGCACTACCGCTACTGTCTGGGATTCCCAGTTCCTCAGCTAAAGGGCCGTCTGTCCGTCTGACTGACCCGACTTCATTTTGGCCAATACTTCACGCTAGTTTTATTGGTTTTCCCGAGAGATTTTGAGAAGAAGGGAAAACATTCACCATGCAGTCTTGCGCCAGGTGTGGGTTTGTGGTCTACCCAGCTGAGAAGATCAACTGCATTGACCAGGTAATACATTAAAGCATTTATAAATAAATGCCTTCTTGGGTTAAAGTGAACTCTCAAATGTGTCTGTGTTAGCCATAAAACTAATAACAGCTGCACAATGGTTATGGATATAAGATTGTTTTTAATTAAAAGACTGGACAAAGAAAAGACTTACAGTTTAGCAGTGACATTAAAGCTTTAGAGAATCGGTCATTGAGTCCATGTGGAAAAATGTGATGTGATTACTGATGTTATTCTGGGCCTCTTATTAATCAGATATAACAGAAATTACTTGTCCAGCATTTTTTCTCTGCTTAATGAACTAGATTCCAGTCATGTTTCCTCTGAACACGGATTTAAAGATTCATGGTCTGTCTTTCTTTTTCTTTCTTTCATTTTTGGCAGAATTGGCACAAAGCATGTTTTCATTGTGATGTCTGCAAAATGGTACTCACTCCAAATAACTTTGTCAGCCACAAGAAGAGACCATACTGCTCTGTGTAAGTAGGAGTCAATACTACTGCAATGCCTATTGAGCGTTTGTAGTTAATCACCAGACATGATAAAAATAAATAAAAACGTAATCTTTTTTTAATGAGTAAAGCACAGAGGAGGCAAATTAACTGCATCTTAGTAAACCACGATTGCACAATAGCCAGGGTCCCGTTTTTAACGTTGTGAATTACACCTGGTGTGACCATGTTGGCAACTATATGTGTATCTCATCCTTTCAGGCACAATCCAAGGAACAACACATTCACAAGCGTCTATGAGACCCCCATCAACATTAACGCAAAGAAGCAAAGTAAGGCCAGCAGTGAGGTAAGAGGACATCCTGAGCAAAACCACAGCAGCATCATGCATGCCATACAACATGTTTCAGTCCTCTGACTCACTGGCATTGTTGTTGCTGTCTATGGCACTAGAGGAAAGACAGTTTATGGCTGTGTCTACTCTAAAGATTGTTATTTATACTGAACACCGAGGTCTAAAAAGGCAGTAAAAAACTTGAGATTTGACCCTGAGCATTTGTATCCATTACTGTTGGATCACAAAGGTCTAATTCCTTCTTTACGAGAGGTGGTCGGTGGTTCTGAGGCCGTGGTGACGGAGGTGGTTTGGAATGGAGACTGGCTCAGGTTATTTCTGTTTCCCTGACAGGGGCTAGATACCCCCCTCCACTTAGCCCACTTTATGCTTCAACGGGCTAAAATTATATGTCAGGAAAAACAGCTTCACATCCCTTCCTCTCCTCTGCTCAGCCACCTGTTTCTGTCTGTCTGAGTCTGTCTGTGCCTCTAAGTTCACGCAAGGCTCTCATGCTTATATTAGCAGTAGGCTAGCAAGCGCCTCGGCTACTGTTTTAAGCCACTGGAGGGATGTGGGAATTAACATTTCAACATTTGATCTGAGGGCTGACCTCGGATCATGAGTGGCCCTCAACCCCCTGTCTAGATTTACCCCACTGAACATTTAAAAAGTGTATATCTTGCTTGGGTTAACATGCAGCTTTTGCTTTCTTATTCCTATTGATTGTACTTTATACCCTTTAGGCGATGATGCTCTAGAGACGTCACTCTGTCCTGTCTCTTCCTCTGACATAGAGCTATTCTAAGATTAGTTTGGGATGGTTTTTACAACTCTAGGATGATATACAAAGTACTCTATTCTGGTTTGTTCTGGGCAGGTCTTGTACCATCTTGAGTGGAACATCTTAGTTATTAATACCAGCTCTCTAACATTATCCCTTCATCATTTAGCTTTTCAGCTCAGGTTCTCCTGCAGCACAAGAATAGAGAGATGTTTGGCACTGTTGAAGTAAAGCAATACCAGTTAGGACTAGCAGTAAAAAATATATATTCTTATTTTTAGGTGATTAGTAGCATCCAACTACCAAAATGGATGCTGCAGTCACATGTGCAGCGTCTGCATGTGCAAATGCTCGCTGGCCTTGGCTTAATGCTTGTCATCCATGTGCCATCCTTGTAGCTGAAGTATCGCGAAGATGGCGAACGCTTTATGTCCACATTCCACTGTGACACGAGATCCATGGAGCTGGAGAAGGCTTGCCTAGCCAATCAGATGGCCAGCCAGGTGAGCTCCTGGGAGAGCAACTGGCCATTGAACCCTTTTAAAGGGAATTTTCAACCCAAATTCTTATCTTTATCAAATAAAAGAGAGAAGAATTACAAATTATTCTTCAAACTTCCT